CGCCAGTCCCTCCAAGGCTGACATGGGACCTTGAGCTGGTAGACGCGGACGCCCTGACCGCTGTTTCCCGTCTCCCCCAGGACATGCCGTACTACCGGTCTCAGTTTAAGAAGTGCGCTGTGGTGGGCAACGGAGGCATCCTCAAGAACAGCCGCTGCGGGAGGGAGATCAACAGCGCTGACTTTGTCTTCCGGTAAACAGCATCACCTGCATCTGCACGCGCTGCCCACCTGCCCCATGCTTGCCCCCGGAGACCCCCTCAGTGTCCTTCTGTTGCCCTCTGCCTGATGAATCCCCGCCCCACCCCAAGGACCCGAGTGCTCTGCGGTACCCCTTCCTCACCAGCCTGTCCCTGTGGGCAAGTGGTCGAACCTCTCAGGGCCTCAGTGTCCACCTCTGCAAGTGAGAGCGAGTCTGAAGCAGAGTGATCTGAAGATGCCGAGCCCTGGAGGGGCCCTGCAGATCTGTCTGTGAGGTTCTCCGGGCAGCTGCCCCCCTGACTGGTTCTAGCCTCCCAGAAGCGCTGCTGGAAACCTGGGCAGTTGCAGCTGCATCCTGGCTTTAAACAGGCTAGAGACGGTTCCTTCCTTATGTGCTGTTCCCTTTTGTGTCTTTGGGGACCCTATCACACATATCAAGCTTGAGTGAGGAAGATGGGCTGAAAAGATGAGCATAAAGCAAGGTCCCGGCTTGAGAGTGCAGCGGGGCTCTGTGATGATAGGTCAGGGCTGGGCAGCAGGTTGGCCTGGGTGACCCTGTGGGAAGGTGTCTGGCTGCTTCTTTCTTGAGTGAATAGTGGAAACTTTCCCAGCATGACTGGAAGGGTCGGGGAACCTACACATGCCTTCCTGCTGTTCCCCCACTAAACTCACCAGCAGATGGGCCAAGATGATATCGATCCCCTGCCATGTGTGCCTATCACGAGAGAGGGTCCTGGTCTGTCTCCTGCATCTCAGCAGGAGGAGTGGGAAGGATCATGGGGTGTGGGGAGGAGGGGACAGGCAGCTGGCACCCCGGAATGAGGCTGAGGCCAGGTGGGTACTCCACAGAGCCAGACCCAGAACCACAGGAACACAGGTCTCGAGACAGGGAGGCAGGAGGAAGCAGGCTGCCTGCCAGCTCTGCAGCAGGGCACAGAGGCTGGCCGGCCTGGGTCTCTGGGCCCCTGGGGTCAGCCTCGGCAGTTGCCCATGGACTGGTAGAGCAAAGCCAGCTAACTTGTGCCAGCAAGCTCTCAGGCCCTCTGCTCGCCTCAGGCAGAGCAGGTGAGAGAGCAGGAGCAGAGCGTGGGTTTCCAGCCAGACTGCCTGACTCTGAATCTTGGTTCTGCCACTTACTAGAATGTTTGTTTCCTCATCTGCAGAATGGGGGGAAGTAATGAAACTATGTCCCTCTTAAGGCCACTCGAGTTAAGGCAGGTAACATTTGTAAAGCACTCGGTGTGTTTCTGCTCAAGTGATGTGGTGAATCCAGAAGAACAGCGTTTCATGCCTCAGTTGTCCGAGACTATGGAGCACAGCTCCCCCTGGCTTGGCTCTGGCTTCCTCTCTCCCTGTCCTCCGCTCACACCGGCTCTGTGCTTCAGCCCCAGGAGTCAATCCCACCCGATGTGCTATGCTTCCTCCTGCCACAGGGCCTTTGCACAGGTGATGCCTGGGTTACATTGCTTACAACCTCAACATTCAACCCAGGCATCGTCTTCTTTTATAATGGACTATTGATTCATTTCTTTTGCATTATTTGTCATCGACACAGAATATTTGTACCAGATATACATAAGTAGGAAACAAATCAAGTAAGCAAATATCTGTCAACCAACCACTCTTCCGGGCACCCAAATGCTCTCAAAGCCACTGCAGGCAGATGTGTTTCCTCCCCTGTCTCCTCCTAGCCTCCCTGTCTCGGGGATTGAGTCCCTTGTTGAAAATTGTTTGACCACAGGTGGATGCACCCTTAAACAACTTGTTTTCTTTTGCTTGATTAGAGGCTGTATTCCTTTTCTAATGCCACCTACCAAATTAGCACAACCTAGTAGATTGCCACAGCAGAAATTTATTACTTTTTAATTTAAAATTTTGGATGGGCCACAGAGCTGCACCCAAGGGTCCTGGGAGGGGTGAGAGGGAACCGGCTTCCTTGCCTTTTCCAGATACTAGAGGCCATTTGCATTCCTTGGCTCGGGGCCCCTTCAAAGCCCACAGCAGAGTATCTTCTAGTATCTTTCTCAGTCTTTGAATCTGGGGTTACACCTTCTCTCTGCCATTGTGTTACTTCTCCTAGGGGCCTTATGATGACAGGAGCCCACCTGGACATCCTGGTCAATCTCCCCATCTCCAGACCCTCAGTCGCCTTTGAACAGTCTAGGACTGCACAGATCTGAGGGATTAGGATGTGGACATCTTTGGGGACCATTTCTCTCCCTACCACAAGGGCTTTATATAGATGCTGCTTCTCACGTAGGCTTCTACGTGGTTAGCTTTCTCTTCTAAGCTTCACCTTTGAATCTTTTCGAGCGTGATTTTGTCCCATGGGGCTATAGTAGCTTGTGATGTGACAGCTGGTGGCCTCTCTGCCCATGTGCTTGGAATCTCAGCGAGACCAGGCGCTGTGGCTGTCTAGTGCCTGACAGGAGGCCCACTCTCTTATCACCTGATCACAGAGGTGTCACTCACCTGGCCACCTCTGCCTCCCTCAGCCCATAGAGATGACCACTGCCTCTCCCTTTTCTGCACCTGTGCCCAGCTCCATCTGGAATAACTGACCACATGCGGTTGGGCTGCCTGATCTTCTCCACAGGTGCAACCTACCCCCCATCTCAGAGAAGTACACCGTGGACGTGGGCGTGAAGACTGATGTGGTCACTGTGAACCCCAGCATCATCACAGAGAGGTCAGTAACCCTCTTTCTTGACTGCTAGCCATTAGTGTTGTATGCTGTGGGTGCCGGAATGTCCATGCTGCACATGCCATTTGCATCCCTTGCATGCTGTAGCCATCAAACACATACTGATTTCAAAGATTGAATGTTTGAAAACTGGAACATTAATTTTCATATTGACTACATGTTGAAATGATGGTATTTTGGATCTACTGGGCTAAGTAAAATAGAAAAATGAATCTCTCCTATTTCTTTCTACTTATTTAAGTGTGCTTATTAGAATGCTTAAAATTACACATGTGGCCTGCATTATATTTCTTCTGGACAGTGCTGACTTAGATATCTCTGCCAAAGGTGGGTCCAAGAGCTTTCCAGGGTGTGGGGCAGGCAGGTGTCCCAGCTAGTACTGGGGAGACGCCCTGGCAAAGATCCCAACCGCCCACCTGGCAGCAGCTCCCCTCCTGAAGTCTGTTGGGGAGACCTGAGGGAAGGGGTCGGTTTGCCGTGTTATTCTCCAGCGCCGGGCCTGGTCATATCTGCAGTCAGATGAAGGCTAGTGGGTGGGGGTGGGGAGTGGGGCCGGGGCAGCTGCCGAGGAGCAAAGGCAGCATCCGCATACAGGGGAGAGATGAGCCAACACAGAGCGGTTTCATCAGAGCGGATAAAGAAAAGTGAGGGAACGGCAGCAGGGAGGGCGGGCGGGGAGACAGGCGGCTGCTTGCGGCGTCCTCACTGGGGGCTGGGGAAGACAGGGTGGCCAAGCACTGAGGCTCTGGGGCAAGCCTGCGCTGCCCTGCTTTCCGTCTGAGTCCACCAGGGGCCGCGCTGGCTCATTTGGGGTGAGCAATGCCCTCCCCCCTGCAGCCCCACACTAGATGTTTGCCACTTGGGGTCCAGATTGTCCTTTCCTGCACCCACTTACAAAAAACGGCTGTCTCCAGGAGGCCTGCACATTTATCTGCAGGGGCGACTGAGATGAAGGGGGCAGGGGTGGCCTCGTGGGGGCCGCGAGTCGGGGAGCCGGCCGCTGACTCCTGCGCCCTGTCCAGGTTCCACAAGCTGGAGAAGTGGCGGCGGCCCTTCTACCGCGTGCTGCAGGTGTATGAGAACGCGTCGGTTCTGCTGCCTGCCTTCTACAACACGCGCAACACCGACGTGTCCATCCGCGTCAAGTACGTGCTGGACGACTTCCAGTCTCCGCAGGCCGTCTACTACTTCCACCCGCAGTACCTGGTCAACGTGTCGCGCTACTGGCTCAGCCTGGGCGTGCGCGCCAAGCGCATCAGCACCGGTCTCATCCTGGTCACGGCCGCGCTGGAGCTCTGTGAGGAGGTGCACCTGTTCGGCTTCTGGGCCTTCCCCATGAACCCCTCAGGGCTCTACATCACCCACCACTACTACGACAATGTCAAGCCCCGGCCGGGCTTCCACGCCATGCCCTCTGAGATCTTCAACTTCCTGCACCTGCACAGCCGGGGTATCCTCCGGGTGCACACGGGCACCTGCAGCTGCTGCTGAGGCGGCCCCCCTGCACGCCCGGCTCCCGAGCCTCGCTGCTCCTCTCCATCTGGTGCCGGGCAGTGCCCCGGGCCTGGCCTTCAGGCAGCCACTCCCTCGGTGGAACAGTTTCTGGCGTGCATCCTGCGGGCCCCGGGGCTCTGCTCTGCCCATAACCTGTCGCCAGGCGGGGCCTCCAGATGGGGGACTCTGGGGATCGCAAGTGAATAAAGCACATTTCCACTTTATGTTAGCTTCTGAGAGAGCACAAACCTCAGTGGGCTGTGGCAGCTACGGGAATCTGGACAGAAGGAAGAGGGGGTGAAGGGGCAGGTAAGCGTGGTCAAGCTGAATGCAGACTTCCAGGTTCCTGGGTCTTATGCCAAGACCTCAGCTGGGAGCTGCTGTCTAGAATCTCAGAGCCGAGAGGCTGCCCCTGCAGCCGGGTGTTCAGAGCGGCTCAGGGACTTAGCAACAGAAGTCACCCCAACCCCGACCAACCGAGTCCACTCAGTGACGCTGTGACATCTACGCCAGGCCACCGTGTTGGGATCTTCTCCGAGAGCCTCGGCCTTTCAAACACATCCTCACACTCCCACAGTCTCGGTGCCTCCAGGTTCAATCCTGCGTTTGATCTTTTGACAAGAAGGAAATAAACCAGACCAGCCATTTGCACTAAGGTTGTCAAGCCAATGTTATCGACTCAGTGCTCAGCAATTTGCTTCCTTTCTGTCTCCTAATTTCCAGCTCTGTTTTAACCAGGAGTTATTTATATAAGAGACATTCCTCTTTCTGTTCCTAAATACTGCAGAATCCTGCTCTCTCATGTTGCTGAGTCAGAAGCGCGAGGCTCCAGGCTGAAAGTGCTGACATGTAACTGGTGAGCTTAGGGGACGATCTCGCGACACCAGCATCACCAGGGTTTGGGCCGTAAAGGCGGGTCTTTCCACACATGGACCCAGGGGGCCTACGCTTTGGGGAAAGCCCCGTACCCGGGCTGCAAGGGGCTCGGGAGGCATCTCACCTCTGGTGTTCATTCCCTCTCAGGTGTTTCCGCCATCAATGGGGCTGTGCCTGCTATAGACGCCTGTGGGGAATTGCCTTGGTACTTGGGTTTGTAGGGTCATGGGACGTGGGTGCTGGAGGGACTTCCCCCCCTCCTACCTTCCTTCCTCTATCTCTCCGTCCCTTAAATAGTCCCACAAGCCTGTTCTGCCTTGGTCTGAGGCAGGCTTGGGGAGACATGATGGCAAACAGAGTCAGTGCCTCTGCTTCTCGGAGGGAAGGGCAGGCCACAGGTGTCAGGCTGCTTGCTGAAGCTCTGGGGAGGAAGAGGAACTGTGCACAGAGCAGGGACACCACCTTCCACCTGAGGGCCTCCCCTTACAGGCAGAGCCAGAGGTCCAGCCAGGAGGGAGGGGAGTGCTCCTGCCCAGGGCTCCCAGGGCTCCTCCCTGAGCTCCTTTGGTATTTTGCCTCGGAGGGGGGCTGTGGAGCCGGCTCTGTGCACTGTCCCAGGTGCTGATCCTTCTCTTCCTTCTGAAAGGCTGCCTGGTAAAAGCTCCAGCCAGTCTGGAGAACAGGAAGGCAGCCAATGAGCAGGGGAGGCCCAAATACTGGGTAAATGGGGGAAAAGCACACCAGGACAGTGATGGTTGTGCTTTCTTGGGCTCTGTCTATTTCCCCCAAGGAAGGGACGCCTGGGAGAGGTTCCTGTTAACCGAGCTTCCCAGCCCTTTGTTTGTGATGAATTGAGCCCAGCTCTTGAAGCTCTGGGATGTCAGAACTGGAAGATTCTTAAATACCATTTTAGCCCACTGAAAGAAACAGATCCAGAATGAGAAGGTGACTTGGCTCAAGTGCTCCACCAAGTTCCTGCTGTGGAAACCCTTTGGGGAATGTTTATGTTCCAGATGGGGCAGTGTCAGGGGCTGAAGACTGGTGAGTCGGACATATGGCTCTCACAGCTGAGGGAGCTGGAGATGCAGATAAGGAACTACCCTGTGAGTTGGGGCTTCTGACTCGAGGTCCTATGTCTGCCTGGAGCCTTAGGACAAATGCTGCCTGTTCCTTGGGTGTCAGTTTCTTTATCTCTTCAACTAGAGGCTTAGAAAAGATCTCTATCGTCTCTATAACCTATTTTCTTGGAGGTGTTCATGTGTGGATCTAAGCCATAAGTAGTACTTATTAGTGTGATAGCTAAGATTCGCTGTGCTCTCTTTCTGTGTCAGGCCCTGTACCGAGCACTATCTTTGCACCGTTTCCTCTAGTGAGATTCTTTTAAGAGGGCTTCCACTACACAGGTGAGGAGACTGAGACTGAGAGCCAGTCAGCGATCAAGTCCCCCATGGAGGAGGCTGGCCCAGGCCTGGAGACTCTAAAGCCGGTGCTCTGAGCCCCTGTCCCAGCCACTTCCCAGTCCACATCTCTGCAGGAGGGAAGAAGAGGCCTCCGTGCAGAGATGGCAATGTGAGGCAGTCCCAGCTCCTGCCCTGAGGACAGTGTCTGGAGCCATCCCAAGTCCTAGAGGCTGCATGGTAGTAGGAGGCAGTCTCTACTGGCAGGTGTCTCCCACCCCACCCCAATCCCACCCTACCCCACCCCACCCCATTCCACCCCACCCGCGCCTGTGGTACTGGTACCAACCTACCCACAGCAGAATGTATGCTGTCTGGCGCGGGAGAGGAGCTGAGGCCATTGCTACACTTTGCAGGTGGGAGAGATGCCTGGAAAGGTGCAAGTGAAGTGAGAACTTGTTGAGAGACTTGCCCAAGGCCACACAACCTCCGGTCTCCTGACTTCCAGGCTGAGCTCTTTCCCCTGCAGTCAATGGAGGAAGAACTTTTCCAGAAACTCAGAGGGATCCAGGCTTTGGCTCGGGAATCTCCCACTTGTCCCATTTTGTGGTACAGGTGAAGGGTTAAATTCTTATTTAAGGGAAATCGATTCCCCACAAGCAACACAGCCATCATCTTTCTTGTGCTAAACCCACTGCTCCAGGGTTTGTGCTGAACCCCGCTGCTCCAGGATTGCAAGACAGCAGAAAGAAATACACGACTCAGGGCTTAGTCAAGCAGAAAGGAAGGTGGCTGAAGGTTGCCTGTCGTCTGGCTTCTGTGACGGTTTCAGCAGTGAGGCCTGGTGCTCTGGAGCCGAGTTGGTTGCCCTGGACTTTGCTGAGCCTGGGGAGGAGGCAGGCGGGGCTTTCTGACAAGGGAGCACACAGAATTGGCTTCAGGCATTCAGCGTATGTACACTGAGTGCTCATTTTGTGCTGGACATTGTCCTAGGGGCCAGGGAGCTGATGACCGAGCGGAGGCATCCCTGCCTTCCCAGAGCCGCTGGACGGGTTGGGGTGTCTGGAGGCTGAACCCAGAGTCCCCCAGTGCATGCAGGAGTTGTGCCGAGTCTGGGCGTAACCCCGCTCTGGAACAGCTGGTGGAGACCTCGAAGCTGGCGGGGGTCGTTTCCCAATTCCCAAGGCTGGTGGGGAACAAAGCGGTGGTGCTCCCCAGGCCTCACGGTCCACATCCCTGTGGCCTGGGGCAGGGCGGGCCGCTGCCTTTTTGAGCCCCTTTCTGTGTTTTCTGACAAGTCGCCCTTCCCCCACTTTCCTCCTGTCCCCCCCCCCCCACACACACACACCCACCGCTCCTGCTCAGGCCCCTTGGTTGAGTCTGCAAAGCCTTCTCAGGGTTCTTTTACTCGGAGCATTTCTGCAGAACTCTCACCTGCCCACACTTCCAAGTCTCTTCTGTCCTTCCCCTGCAAGCCACTCCCTCCTGACCCCACACACACTTCCCAAGCAGGTTCCCTGTGGCCTCTGGACCTCTACCTTCCGGCACTTTTCACCTCCACCTGTCCTCAACCTGGCCCCAGGAAGCTGCTTAAGCCCCCTCTCCCCCCCCCCCCATCTGATTGAGGGAGGGAGCCAGGACGCCAGCCTCAGCAGCTGCAGTGATGCTAAGTGGAATGGGTGCGGGCACAAACCAGAGCTCCTGAGCAAAGATGCCCCCTGCTCCTTCCCCGGGAGGCTGCCAGCACCCTGCCCATGGCCACTCAATCCAGACCCGGCTCTTCTCCTTTACCTTCTATGTGCATTTGTTCACCAAATCTTGCCTGTCCCAGCTCATGAGTATCCCTTGAATTCATTCTCTACCTGCATCCCTCATCTTTCTCCTTCCACAGGATAACTTCTGGAAACGCCGCTGGGGGAGCCCACTCTCTGGCTGTACTGTGCATTGCAGACTGCTTCCCAGCTGTGCAGGCCACGCTCACTCCCCTCCCAGAGACCCTGCTGCCTCCGTCCTGCTCCAGGCCCCACTCTCCTCCAGGCTCTGTGCCTTCACACAGGCTGTCTGAAATGCAGCCTCTGCTCTTTTCTCCTTCCCCAGCCGCTCCTGCAGGTGATATTGTGTTATAACCCGAGTCCTCCCCTCTGGATCTGGGCTGGTCACTTTCTCCTCTGAGCTTCTCCCCTGCTCTCTGACGCACTAGGACAACCTCACAATGCACACATGGTACAACGGTGTGGGTGTGTCTCTGTCCTTGCCCCAGGGGCTGTCCTTTCTCAGGGAGACACTGTATCTGACTCATCTGTGTGCTCCCAACACGGGCAGCCACGTGTTTACTGTAGCATTGGGGTCTCTGGTTATCCAGTGGGCTCCAGCCGTTCAGACCCACTAATAAACTGAGAAACGCCCTGGGGATACGGTCAGCATCAGAGTCCTGTGCTGAGTTATTGTTGTCTGGCACCTTCTGTGCATAAAGCACTGAGCTAAGCGGTCTCCTTACCTGTCCTTGGGAAGTTTGGGGCCCAGGAACCTGAACTGTCTGTGTTGGGTGGCTTGCTGGCTCCGTCACTGGCTCCATCACCCCATCTCTTGTCTCCCCCTATTAAAATGTCCTTGCTCATTTGCATCTGGCCCCCTGACAAAACTTTCTCTTTTGTTTAGTTCAAATAAAAGAAGGGAAGCTGTTTTCTTTTTTCTTCCTTTCCTTTCTCTCCCCTCCTCACACCCTTTCAGATTTGTCAGGCCCTCGTGTCCCTCTGCTGAGGTGCAGGCTGGGGCTCAGTGTACCCGAGTTTACAGGCCAGCCTCAAAAACGAGTAGAAAATGCTTTACTTATCGGCTGGAGAACAGATAAGCTGAGCAGTGCAAAATGTCTGCTCCAGATGCACAAGTCCCTGGGGGGCCAGGAGCTTGGGCTGGGAGCTGGAGTGTTCAGTACCCGCCCTGGCCTCTCTCCCTGCAGCCAGCACACCCATGTGGGAAGAAGCGTGTTTGGCATATAGGGGCTGGCAGTGGGGGCTGCTGATGGCCAGGTGTCTTACATCCCTCGGAGGGCATTGATTACCTCCTACCAGACAGAAGGAGGTTTGGAGTCCTCCCAGAATCCTCTGGGTGCTTGTTAAAACCCAGCCTATTGGCTCAGAACCTGGGGCAGGGGTGTGCTGCCAGGGAATCAACATGGGTGCCATCCCCAGGGGGCCCTAGAGCGCCTCAGGCACTCCCTGCGGTCAGGGACTGCTGCCAGGTGAGTGGTGAAGCCTGGCTTGAAATTCAGTCTGGAGGATTAGGCGAGAAAGAGTGAAAAGCAGAACCTGGCACACCACCCAGCCTCCGTGTCTTCTAGAAAGAAGCTCATAAATATAAAGGAGAGCCTGCTATTAGCCTAGCAACAGGACTTAATTGCTCAGGAATCTGTAACAGCTACAAAATATGCTTTGGCCTCAATGTCATCCAAGACCTGTCCTCCCCTACTGTGGTAAAAGACACACAGCATAAAAGTCACCATCCACCATGTTTTAGAGCCCCTCCGAGTAGGGTAAGTGCATATCGCGGTGCAACTGACCTCAGGACTTTTCATCCTGCAAAACAAAATTCTATCCCAGGAAAGGCCTGCGCCCCTCACCCCTCTGTCAGACCCAGTAACCACCCTGCCGCGCCTGCCTGTGTGGGTTGACTACCCTAGCTACCTCGGGTGAGTGGAGTCATAGTTGATTTTTGTGATTGACTTATCCCAGATAGAATCATTTAAGAGTAAGCTGTTCTCGATGACATGAAATGTCTTCAGTGTCCCGATAATACCATTGTGACCTTTGGTTTTGCCTTGAAGCGCTGTCCTGCCCCCATGGCCTGACTTTGGGTGACTGTTGCCTTTGCTGAGAGGCAAGGAGGGCTTTGGTCTTGCTTTGCTGGCCACTGGCTGGCTGGTGAGCTGAGAGCGCAGGCCTGCCTGCCTTTTATACCTTCGCGAGAAGGGAGATAGGGAAAGAGGGAGGGAGGAGGGGAGAGAGACTGAGCACACCGTGCTCGGGCTCTTGGCACAGAGGCAGCAACCAGAGACTGTCCAGTCTTTATATCACTTTGGGGTAAAAGTTTGATTTCCTCTTGAATTCTCAGCCCACATGTGTGTTTTTTTTTAATATTTTTTTTTTAAAAAAGATTTATTCATGTGGAACTGGGGTACAGGCCAGAGATGCGGAGGGTGAGAGGATTCGCCAGGGACAGAGCGGGGAGCAGAACAGGCAGATCGACGAAGTACACTGCTGAGGGGAGCAGCGGGCGGGTCAGGAGAGGTCTGCCGCGCCATGCGGTTTCCTCCGGGGCAGGCGGGGATCGAACTCATGCGGAAGTGGCTTTCTCAGTGCTGTGCTTTAACCCGCTGCGCCACCAGGGAGGGCCACCACATGTGCGTTTTGACATCACCCAGGGAGCTTTTAAATATAAGCCCGCTCTTCACCTTCGCGCAGAATCTGGTTCTGTCAACCTGGGGACAGGATCCTGTAGCCTTAAGCCCTTATTTTGCGTTGGGGTTGAGACTCTGCCCTAAGGAAGCAGTCCTCACCATGTGAGCTAGAAGAAATGCCAGGGCCTGGACCCCGCCCCAGAGTTTCGGATCCAGCCTGAGCGTCCCCCCTCTCTGCAGGTGGTTTAATGGGCAGCCAGTGTTGAGAACCCAATTCTGCACTGGCTGTTCTCAAACCCAAACCTGGATCGGTAGCCCGTGGAGAGAACTTGGTTCTGGGCCCATGCCCAGGCAGATTTGGTGAGCCTGGCAGAAACCACAGCTGAGCCAGGCTGGCGCAGGTCTGAGGGCTGCACCGTGAAGGTGGCTGTTCTACATCATCTTTGTACTAGCTTGGTTTTGTGCTGCATTTTTTCCTGATTGGGGGTGGGGAGGATCTGATTCAGGCCCGAGCCTTCTTCAAAGCACCAAGAGATATTCTTTTTCTGGATATTTGAGTGCTTTAAACAAACCTCATGGAATATTTTGCAAGTGAATATTTATGGTTTCTTGTCCCTGCGTTGGGGGGTTCCAGGCTCCCCGCGTGAAGAATTCGCCAGTGCCCAGGATCAGGATGCATTTTGTAGTAGAGCTCAGGGCTGATGTTTCTGGGGCTTGGGCCCAGCCTTGTCCTGTCCTGCTGAGGGTCGCCTTGTCACTGTGCTGGGGTCAGCTCAGGGTGCCGTTCTGTGCTCTCCGGAGCAGGAACCCCTGGCCCACTGGGGGTGAAAGTCAGGGTCCAACATTCTTTTCCTCCCTTTCTGCAGGGGAATCAAATGCAGAACGAGGTGATGAGCAAACGTCCATGGAGCAGGTGCTGTGACCAGGCCGAGTGTGCACACCCTGTTGCTTGGTGCGCTTCCTCCCTCTAACTTTGCTGGAGTTGGAACAGCTAGTCAGTGTCCAGGTCTGGCTTCCACCTCCTTCCCCTCTCCCTGGAAGCCCTTTACCTCTGCAGACAACCCCTGTGCCAGATCAGAATCCTGTATTCAGAATATTCTGGAATTCTGTACGTGGCCACTATTTACCCAAACCACGATGCGGTGGACAGTTGTCAAGGGAGGAAGTGTGACTTCTAATTGAAACGAGGTGAAGGCACACCTTACTTCCAGGTCCTTACTTCCAGCCCTTCCCCAGCAAGCCACTGTGGCCCTCAGGTAGCTGAGGACTCAGTGAAGGGAAATTAATTTCCAGCCCTTGAAATAGATGCTCTAAATGTCTGTATCAGAGACCAACCGTTCTGCTAACAGCAACCCCTCACGGCATTCACTTTAAGTTCAATTCTAGCAGACTTGATTTGACTTCTAAAAATAAAGCAAAGTGAGAGAGTGGAGGTGGTGTGGATACAGTACGAAGTGGCTGCTACCCCACATGTCCCGAAAGCCCCGGAGGCACCCAGGCCTTTCACACAACTTCACCCTGAGAGGCCACCGCCACGCAGAGACACAAAAAAGCTCCAGCAACCTCTGTAGACACCAGAGAAGCAGCCCACACCCCTTAGAATGGTTTCCATCCCCAAACTCCTGGAGCAATTCCTAGACATCTTGGCCCACAGGACCAGCCCTCAGTTCCCTGGCAGCAGGTAGGTGGGCAGTTCATATTCTGATGCTCGCAGGGTCAGTGGTTGGTTAAACACTTTGCTCTGACATTGCTGTGTCCTGAGACCTTCCTGCAAGAACAGGGGTCCAGAGGAGGGGGTGTGGCCTCTGCCCAAAGGGGTGTTGCTCCCTTGAGGCAGTGATGTTAGTGCATGTCGGAGGACAGCAGGCTTGGGGGCGCCACCGCGGTGACTGTGAAGTG